CCGTCATCGTCATTACTAAAGTTAAGAACTGCCATAGGAAGGAAAACAGATATAAATAACACACACACACACATTTTAGTACACATTGTTTTATTGGTAAAGTGTTTGTTGAATTCAATTTTACGTACTTATAATATCAAGACACCAAAATGAAATGTTAATAAATACTTTGTGTTGAGTGTAGAAATGGACATTTATTACGAGAAACTAAATCACTATAAACTTTTTTAATCTTTAACGTTACTCCAATGTATATACATGCTTGTGTCTTATTGGATGAAACTATCTGATTTTCATTTGAATAAGAGCATGTGACAAGTAAAAGAAGAATGTGCCAGGACTCCATATATTATAAAGAAAAAACACACGATGACAGGCTACAAGAATAATCATCAAAGTTTTGGTTTTTATAGTGAGAAAACTTTGCTGCTAGGCTGGTTAAATGTTGTGACAGGTGGTCAGAATAAACCGAAAAGAAATGCCTCCTTCTTTGTCTTCTGGAGTCTAGAGACAAGTGGATGCTATCGTATGACCGCAGCGGATTCGTAACGCCTGGACTTGCAACGGAGTTAAGTTTTATGAAAATGTCATGATTCTAACATGTCTTGTTAAGCAATGGACGCCTATTATGATTCTAACATGTCTTATTAAATAATGAACGCTAGTAAGAATTCTAATATGTTTTATTAAGTGGTGGACGCCTGTCGTGATTTTAACTTGTCTTATTAAATATTGGACGCTAGTAAGGATTCTTACATGTCTTTTTAAGTAGTGGTTGACTGTCGTGATTCTAACTTGTCTTATTAAGCAATGGACGCCTGTCATGGTTCTAACATGTCGTATTAAACAATGGACTCCAGTCAAGACTTTGGGTAACAAAGAAAGTATGCTATTATAGGTAGAACATGTCAGAAAGTAACCAGGTATTTCTATAATAAATAGAGCACATTGTTAGAAGACATGGGAGTAGGAGAATGTCCGCACTCAGTAGAGATTTTATTCGATGAGGAAAGTATACTGTTAGACGACAAAAGAGTATGAGGAAAGTATACTGTTAGACGACAAAAGAGTATGAGGAAAGTATACTGCTAGACGACAAAAGAGTATGAGGAAAGTATACTGTTAGACGACAAAAGAGTATGAGGAAAGTATACTGTTAGACGACAAAAGAGTATGAGGAAAGTATACTGTTAGACGACAAAAGAGTATGAGGAAAGTATACTGTTAGACGACAAAAGAGTATGAGGAAAGTATACTGTTAGACGACAAAAGAGTATGAGGAAAACAGCATCTTATGGAATGACTTTTAAAAGTTCTTTCTAAATCAGTGTGTATGAATTCACGCATGTTGTGTAACGAAAGTGTAAATATGAACACAGGCAGCGGAACAAATTTGAATTAGTGGGGGAATACGGACTATTGGGGGACCTTTTCTGCTATGTTGAAAGTGACTTTCCTTGATAATTATATACTAGTTTTTATTCTCCATTCAAAGGGGTACTTACCGGTTAGAAGTTGAGAGGTGCGTGCCTCTCCCAGGTTTCTCCGCCTATGAATATGAATGAACTGTTGAAATTAGTCGACTCTTCCAATTTATCAGGAAATAACAGTTTCATAAGTATATTGTTTTGTGGAAAAAACAACAACGTGTTCTTAGTAAAAATTTAGCTCTTTTTTGATTCTATACAGACAATGACAGATCATGTGAGGCTATCCAGCTTTATCATTACAAATAACACATACGTTTTCTTGGCATTTTATATAAAAAAAATAAGTAGTGAAGTCATCTACGGTTGTTTAGAATTTGGGACTCAATAAATATCTATGCTTATATATAATAAGCATTAGGACGCTGCTACCACCTATCGGCTTATCTGACAAGTAACTTATTAAAATTGGTCTTTTTAATGTTATGAAGTAACATTTATTAATTGCTAGAAAAATCCACACCAGAATGAACCACAGTAGTTTTCCTTTTATTAAGACTTGTTACAATGCAACCATAAAAACACAAATATTTACATTACTGTCAAATAAAACAAAAGTCCACGTAAAGTTTAAGATGCCTTAAACAAATAACAAACCGGCAACACAGTGTTAATAATGGTTTTTGATTTCCTTAAGAAAATCTTAACTTAAATTTTCAACACTCTTAAGTTAAAAATGTGAATGGTAATATATAACTTATCATTCATCATAACCTAAAGCTTAATGAGTAAGCAACAGGACTTGAAACTTGTCTCTGTAATTCCAACTTGGGTCGTCATCAACTTTGAAGCAACAGGATCAAAGTTACTTTCATCATAACCTAAAGCTTAATGAGTAAGCAACAGGACTTGAAACTTGTCTCTGTAATTCCAACTTGGGTCGTCATCAACTTTGAAGCAATAGGATCAAACTTACTTTCATCATAACCTAAAGCTTAATGAGTCGTCAACTTTTTGAAGGCCATAGATAGGCCTAAATAAAGTGTTTTTAATTGTGTACCAGTTTAATGTTGAATATTATTTGTGATTTTAACAGGATCAAAGTTACTTTCCTGCGTAGGTGAGTACCGACCTTCAAGTTTAACCCCATTAACCCTGTCTTCAAGTTTCATCATTCTAGGAATAATACGTAACAGTTTTATATAGGTCGAGGTAGAGATACACAGTCTAGTATTTATTGGAAATGAAATTTTTACACACATCAGTATATTGCGTTATGTTTCACATGTGATAAGCACCAATTGAGATGAAAATTGTCAGTAATATTATTTCCAATTGGCTATATATTGGTCTTCTTTAACTTTCCGATTTTTGAATTACTCAAAAACCACCCATTTGTCTGAATGTCAAAGCGTCATCTATTTGCAATTTTACTTAACAGCGTGCAGCCAACATGTAAACAAAAACATATGTTGAATTCTAGTAAACAACTTTTCTTACGCTTGATATAATCTGGAAACAGCATCAATTTTTACGGATACGTTAACAATTCTAAACACTAAACATCTGGTATTAAAGAACTTCAAATTTTAAGTAGTGTTTTATAAACTACGATTTAATAAATAAAACCAGATAATAAATTCGAATGATCAAACATTTCACGAATATCTTGAATTGTGGAGCATCTTTGTGATCACACTTTATGTTTGAATGACATAGAAAGTTTAATTTTTTAATATCATCACCATAAAGCAAACGTATTAGATGACAATTTATGCTACAGTGTTAGTGGAAGTAAAGAGATTGGCATACTGTTTAAATGATGACGACCAACCTTCTGCCATGAATTTACCTTCATGGCTGCTTACTAAGCTTTATTAGAAATGTGACCTCAACAGTTTAGAATACACTGCTTTAACAATTTAAAATACTCTAATACAACTGTGACTTTAAACTCAAAGTTATGTTAGAAATGTGACGTCAGTAATCTAGAGCCCTCTGCTGGAATTGTTATTAAAATCTAAAATACTCCAATACGAATGTTAATTTAAGATTTTACAAAGCTCTATCGGAAATGTGAGTTTAACATTTTACAAAACTATAAGAAATGTGACTTTAAAATTTTACAAAACTCTATAATAAATGCGACCGTAACATTTTACAAAACTCTATGAAAATTGTGATCTCATAGTCTAGAACACTGTTAGAAATGTTACTTTGACAGTCTAAAATTTTCTAATACAAATGTGACTTTAATAATCTACAACGTTATCTAAAAATACGAATTAAACTATCGCTAATACCCTTGTCAAAGTATTTCATCAAGATTTAAAGGATAGCGTAAAATTAATATTTCAGCTGGCTACAGAGCTTTATGAGAAACATTACTTCAGTGAAATAAAACGATTTACTAGGATTTCAACGATTCACATCGCTCAAAGAAAAAGCTGGCTTCAACAATGTACAAAGTTTCGCAAAAAATACGTCTTCAACAGTCTACAAAGTTCTTCTAAAAATACGACTTAACTATCAATAATACTTGACTTTTCTTAAGACATTAGTATTACACATGTTAATTTTTTCGGGTTACTTTTTCTAACTAGTACCTTAGGGTTTAGAGTGTTTTTGAAGAAAAAAAGACTGTATAATAGTATTTGAACTAAACTACGTCAGCCATAGCCATTGCCGACTATGGATTTCATTAAATACAGGGCTCATCAGACCACAGTACTAACCACAGGAGTAATCGAAACACTATTTCTTATATGAATTATTTGTTAAAACAACATTTGCTATAGAGTGAATGTCTTTTCTAAGCTGGCGAACTATGGTTATAATTAATTATATTAATGTCTTATGACAAGTATAATCATGCTTCACTAGCTACGAAAAGGCATTTACACCACTCATTAGTCTCCAATCTCCACCATCCTGCTTTAGCCTCCATTAGTGTAGAGAAAACATTAAACATGCTCTAGACTGTTAGTGTACAGAAAACGTTAAGCCTGTTTTAGACTTCATTAATGTACAGAAAACACTAAGCCTGCTTTAGACTTCATTAGTGTACAAAAAATACTAAGCCTGCTTTAATCTCCATTAATGAACAGAAAACAATAATCCTACTTTAGCCTCCATTGATATAAAGAAAACGTTAAACCTAATTTAGTGTACAAAAAACAACAAGTTTACTTTAGACTGCGTTAGCGTACATAAAGTAATAGGCTTATCTTTAGACTCCGTTAGCGTAAATAAAAGAATAGGCTTAACTTTAAACTCCATTAGTACATAGCAACAATAAGGTAGCTTCAGAACTAGGGTTATGACGCTTATACTCTAGGTTGATATTGTGTATAACTAATTTTCAGTTTTGTAAATTGCTGTGTAGGAAGTTTATATATATATATAAATATATTTCTCAGTTTGTATTTCTGCACGCATTGTAAACAACTGGTAAATGGATCACGTTCTAGTATTTTCAACGATAGCATTCGCTTATGGGGAATCTTTGAAATATACAATGGTTTTTACATAAACATTGATATAAATTAACCTTTCATCCTTGTGAGTTTTTCTACCTATTAAAGTTTGATAATAACTTTCTGGCCTCGTAGTAATTTTTTAATTTTCTAAGGAAGTGGCGGACATTACTCAGATCAGATCAGACGTAAATATAATTTACTCACATAAACAAGGTTCAATAATTAGGAACAACTAATTGATTAATATAGATTAGTTACTCCTAGTAAGAAGTAATTATACGAATCAGCACTATAAGTTTATTTCTACGTGTTGTTTTACCTTTTAGTGGGATCAACAATCGTGTTCTTAAGTAACCAGGAAATACTAGATACTAATTGTTCAATAAATTACGTACAACGTATTTTTAACCTTATTAAGTAGGCATTACTTTGACATTGTTTAATCGGATTTTTAGCTAAATTTTACGTTGGATATTGTCTTGTTATGTATGACATTGTTCATTTAAAACTCTCAGAGAAGATTACAATTACTATTGTTGAGATAAAGCTCTCAATTAAGAATTATACACGATATTCTTCAGTAAGAACTTGCAGTGAAATATTACATTACACTGTAAAAACTTTCAGCTAATATTAAAGTTGAATTGTTGAGATACAGCTGTAAATTAAGAATTATACATGATATTATTCAGTAAGTACTCTTAGGTAAATATTACATGCTATTGTTCAGTTGAAACCTTCACATATTAGTTACGCACGACATTGGTCATTTGAAAGTCTAAGTTAAATGTTATACACGATATTGTTTATTTGGAACTTAAAGTAAATTATAGAAAGTCATGATATGTTTTAGTTAACGCTCTTGCCAAATGTATACATGACATTGTCCTGTTAGATCTCTGAAGTAAGTACACATATAATAAATTATATCGACACAATATTTATAAACCTATGTACTTTACATGAAAATATTGTGTATCCACTTGGTTATAAACATCTGTCTTGAAATCTATGCTGTCAAGGTTCAATAAAATTCACTTGAGTGACGTATATTTTAGTATAGTTTTGACGTCATTAAACCTACTAATAACAAAGAGAATAAGACCATTGCAATCTTAAAACTTACTTGGAAGCACAAATGTATATTTACCCGGTTTGATTTCTAGCCTAAACTTTGTATTTCTTTCTTTAAAGAAACGAAATAGTAGAAATTTTACCCTATAATAGATTCACTATGAACATTGTGCAAAACACTTGACGTTCCAACAGATGGAGCCACAATCAACGACAGGCACAATTTTGTACTGACATGTTAGGGTAGTTTTTCAACACAACATTTTCGTCTTCATCAAAGTAAAGAAGAGTAACTGAAGAAAGGGAGTCGGGGACACAACAGGGTGCAGGGACACCTGGATTCAACCCAATAGCGTTCACAATACTCTGGATTGTAGCATGATTTGACGGCCGAAAATTCTGGAAGAAAGATTAAAAAGTATTTTCTATCTATTGATTCATTAGACAAACTTTGTATTACCGTTATTAGTATCTTTATAATTTATTTGTCTTCATTTAAGCTCTACTGTTGTTTGTTTCCTTATGTTAGAATTCATACGAGTAATGCATCAAAAATGAACCATGTGGCTCAGCCGTAAACTTGAGGACTTATAACGCTACAAATTAACGTTCAATACTCGTGGTGATCAGAGTACAAATTACCAGTTGTAGAGCTATGGGTCTGAAAACAATAAAAAGAGAGAATTAAAAATAATATGATTTATACCAATATTTGAAAAGGACAACAACAGGTTATACAAAATCAAGGTGTTAAGAACAATATTTTGTTATATGTATAAATGTTACAAAATATTGTTTGTTGACAAAAATGTTGTTGATGGAATACTTCCTATGTTATGAAATAACCTTTGTCATATGTGGTAAATGTAAGAAGATAGTGTTTGTAAACATAACGAAGCCATTATGTAATTATTAGCGTTAGTTCTATGTGTTGGACAGTCCTATATTAGGTAACGTGATAGCAACACGAAGCGAGGAATCATGAAATTATGATTGGTTGGAAAAGTAAACCGAAATACGTGAATTTGATATAGAAGAATGAGATAGTGATGTTGGCGGGAGGAGAGAGAGAGAGAGGTGAATTTTAAAGATAGACTGTTTAGTTTCCGTTGTATGTAAAAACAAGAGAGTCTAGTGTTAGGCCTCACGAGGTATTAGCAGGGCTGAATATTTGCAGGAAGTTACAAATAATAGTCTTATAACTAACTATGACGGAACGAAAAAGGTGGAGCTAATTTCCTAACAGCTACCATGTAAGAAGATCCAACGACATCAGGAATTAAGTAAGGTGTATTCCCTGGCTAAGCTGGTTTTGTGTATTGTTCTCTTTGTACTCAGACCGCATGAACAAGAATTGTACATACTGTAAATGAAGTTGTGTTGCCATTTTTGTTATTCCTGGGTTGTGGCGAGTCTGTAGACGACTCGTTTATTAAGAAGTAAGACATGGTACCAACTGAAGAGCGGAGAATGGAAAGCATAGGAACGTAACAAAAGGTACTCATTGCATGATGTTTTTAGCGCGCTGTTTTGTGTCTAAAAACAAGAAGAATAAAGAGATTTTAAGAAAGATAAAGAAAACGTTACTAATTTCAATTAGCTTCATCGTGTTTCAGTTGTTTTTATAAAGTATCAGAGTACAACAGTCAGAAAGATCGTCAACTGATGCTGGTTGTAGAAAGGAAAGACTGATTAACCTGTCAGTGTTCTGGCGGATTAACTTGTCAGTGTTCTGGTACATTACTCTGTTAACGCGGGTCTTTCTGCGTAAAATGTAACGTTTTAAACACAACCATATGGTTGGAATTAATTTTTATTAAATTACTTAAGACACTATACATTTTAGAAAGCAATACCGACTTTTTTTTTCTTTTCTTTTTTACTTAGCTGTAGGACTAACTAATTTCGCACATATTTTGTTCTGAAGGTCATAACCTCCAAGAAACGTATGACATCATAGGGTGGGAAAAGGAACCAACAGTAAGGGTGGACTTGTTATTAATTGGCGAGTCTTAAGAGTGTCCCCTTTTCAAGAAGCCACTGAAATAATATCAGTATAATAATATATAACATTAATTCGTTATAGAAAAAAACGTAGAGAATTTAAACTATTTCAAAATGATTGATATGATTTATATTACTAATCATAAAACACACTCGAGTTATAAAAAACTTTTCTTTATGTGAGAAGCTCATATTTTAATAGACAATGTTTATCCAAATTTAGCATATATCCAATAAACACCAATATTCTGAATGTGTATATCACATTCATACTTCACTAACAACAACAATAAAGTAATTATTAAATTATTTGGTGTCTTAGAAGTTCATGAAATCTTTACAGATCTGCTTCTTATTCACCCACCCTTAAAATATTTTGAAATCGCCCGTAAAATGTTGGACTGAAAGTTTTAAACATTAGGATAAGGCAACAAACACAAGATCCACTTTCCTGAGTTTAACAACATCACCAAAGGAATTTCAATATGTAACTGAAAAACACAATTTAGTTTTTATTTTTTTATTTTTGCAATGCTTTATTTGAAAATAATGTATAATTCTAATATTTACGTGCAAGTAAAAAGATCTTCCCGCGTAATAATTCCGTGAGTCGTAATTCTAGTGGCAGGACTTATTATATTGATAAATAAAATTGAAAAGCCACTGTAGAAGTACTATCTAACCCATATAATAGCCAGTGTGTGTCACGTCACGGCACACCAGATTTCTCGAAATAGGAGGAGTCATAAAAGCCAAGATGTATTTATCCAGATAGAATAGTTTTATTACTGTCTGCCCATTACGATTTTAGTGACGGGAATGGAAAAGGGCCGGAAGGGTGTGTGTGCTGTGAAACCTTATAAGTGTAGTGAGTGTTAGTATAATAAGCCTAAGGTAAAGACACGGTGTGAGATCACTTAGCCTAGAGCCAAGTGCATGAAACTTATTATGAAAGTAAAAATATCGATTCAACTTTAAACTTAAATCGTTTCTGAATTAAGCTATTTATTGTTATATCACCAAAGTATTTCATAAAAAAGAAATTTATTTAATCAACGGAGACTAAATTAAGAAATCAACAAATATTTTTCCAATTTTGTTGTCTATACATTTCATTTTATACTTGCAGTACATAGCTAACAACAATATTAGGTTACACTTTTGTTGCTAAGCAACATGACATAAAAGCCATTGTTGGAATGTAGTGTTACCAAAACGCACTGGTTTTTCTATATATTAGAAATTGTTAATCTAACTGATTTTTACCAATAATTATTCTACGGATACGCCACAAATTCATTTCGTGAATGATCTTAATTTTGATTGACTCACAAAAGAATTTAACGACGTTTTACTGCCTCGACTGTACTTTCTGCCTTTTCGTTGGTCAAGCTTAATTTCGCAAAATGTATTTATTTCTGTTAGCTTTGAAACGTGAGGTTAGGGTATATATACTATGGAGTGGTTGTGGTAGTACTTGCTCCGTCATTTTTGACAGGTTATACGCTAGTGTATTATACACAAGAACGGATTACTTCTAACAAATAACTGACAATGCTGTTGAAGTACAAGATGATAATACAATATTTTTCCCCATTCTATCAAAAAAATAAATTAAGATATGTTAATTCCAAAGAAATAATAGTTTCATAAAGAAAAAACAACACTTTTTTTTAAATATTTAGTGTTAGCACCTTCAATGACAAATATATAAAATGATAGACAAGAATATCACTATCATTACTGACTTACTCAGTGACAAATGACAAATATAACACTGATAAACAGAACTATCAGATAACCCCTTCAGTGAAAAACTCAATAATCATTATTAGTGACAAACTAAAACTGCTAAACATCATTTTCAGACAAACTCTTCAGCTAAAAGCTTAGGAATTTAAAATACATCGTCAACAAAAACTGTAGTCGCTTGCACCAATATTTTTATTGACTATGTGCCGAGATAAAAGAAACCGCTTTTCTAAACTTTGTGACAGTACACAACTGACAAAGTCAGGCAAGTCCTCATTCTGTATGACAAACTGTTGTGTCAGTACATAACTGACAGAGTCAGGCAAGTCTCCATTCTGTATAACAAACTTATGTGACAGCACACAACTGACAGAGTCAGACAAGTCCTCATTCTTTATGATGAATTCCATGAATGTGTAAATTACTAGCAGAATGGGCACATCCACATTCTGTATTATTAACTCTGTAAGAATGTTTTGCTAACATATTCAAGATTAGCTTTCACTCTGTGGTACGAACTGTGTAAAAGTATATTGCCAGCAGATTCAGGGCAAGCATAAATTTGGGATAATACATTTTCTAAAAGAAGTTTTAAACCTAAACAATGGATATTGGAGTACATGCCTAAGTAACGTGAATTTGATATTTCTGTGTTGAAAATGTTTAAACGTAATATTACATTATGAATGTCCAGTTAACGTTCAAAGCTCTTTTTGCTGGATTGGGTTCCAATTTGATATCAGTTTTAGTTCAATCTACGTGCTGTGGTGCATATTCGTTTCATGACTTTGTTTTACTCTATTAGAAACGCATATTTCATTTGTAAAAAGACTGACAGGTATGACACAAGAATACACCATTTTATGCTTTTTGTTCGTCTTAAAGATTATGACTTGAAGAAACTTATTGCAGGCCACTTCCTGTCACATCAGAAACCACAAGCATAATCGGTGTTTTGAGTAGTTTCCCTCTGTTTTTAAGTCTAATGAAGCGTAGATCTAGTAATTCACAATAACTCAACCTTTATCTTTAGAAAAAAACAACCCCAAAAACAATTTTCTTAAATTTACTTTTAATCTGTCTGTTACTCGCCTGTTGTAGCCTAAGGTCAAAACTGTCTGCAATGTCTAGCTATTTGTGAGAGTTGTAAAGGTGATAAAATAAGAGGATCCTAACCTCACTAAACTCTTGATGGATGCAACAGCCAGTTATATCAACTTAAGAATGATTATCATGACGTAAGGAATGTATTAACCAGTTAACCGACATAAGATTAATTATCTTGTCGTGAGAAAATCTTAAAATTAATACTTATCTAATACACAACTTACCTTCGTTAGAGGAAATGGACAATGGCCAGAACAAAAGTGGACCTCCAGTGAGGTTGGGGCAATGATCCATCTACTCCAGCCAATATCAGCAAAGTTTACTCTTAGCTTTCTTCGTCGACATAGGTCTGAAAAAGTTCCATACTTGTTATGAAGGGAAGCGTCATTTTCATGGATTTGTTCACCTTTGGGATGGAGGAAGTGGGGCAATTTTCTGTTTTTTCTTCTGCGTTTCTTTCTGTTTCTTCGCTTGAAACCCTTAGATTTTCCAAATGACTTCCAGTAATTGGTTTCCTCTGGGTAAGGAATAAGACTTGGGTCACGTTTTTGGGTTTCTGTGTGAGAATGAAAAGCATTAACATTTGGGTCTGGAATTTTGTTTGTATGTATTGGGTCAATGGGAAGTTCATTGTCCCATGTAGATCGTTTCGAACGATTGAGCAGCTGCTGCTTCGTTTCCTGGTAAGAAAGAGACATCATATTACTCTTTTTCAAGTTGTCATAAAATAAAAATCTTTCGTCTAAGTCTTCGATTGTTTCGTTCCTTTTGTCATCTTCAGAAAATATTATGAGAAATGGTTTGGAGGTTTTGCGTATAATCCTCCATATGTTCACAGTCTTATATTTGCCTCTACTTCGACGGACTTCTAGTTTCATAGCAAATACACTCCCACACGTTTTTTTCTCATGACATGCTGTTATTGGCTTTGTGACGTCATAATTCTGCCAACCTTGTCCTTGATGGTCCATAGTCAGCTTCTCGAGAACGGTAACCGTTGTCTTACTGTAGTCTATCAGCACTAAATGGTACACAGTGGAGTCTTGTTTTTGGTGTTTACCATATTTGATTTTCCATCTTCTTGGTATATGAAGTTCTCCATTAAGTATACGTTCAGTGGGATGGATTCCACTTAAGTTGAATATAAGAATATGTTTGCCCTCCAATTTTCCTATCAGACAGAAGATAAAATATTTGACTAGATGTACGAAAACAAATCTATAAATAAAAAATAAATTTGATAAAATTAAGCGTAGATATTTTATCAAAACGTTTAAAATTTAGTTTAAAATAATAGTTCTTATCCTCTCCATACACACATTACAAAACGTAAGTAGACTGTTAAATAAATAGAAAATCTTAACTCTTAAGGTATACAAAATAGAAAGATAAGCCCATTGTTTGTTTAATACGCTATATAAACTATTGAGGTTACTTTGAATATAAAATATATATATACAAAAAAAAAAAGACTGGTTAAAATCAATTAGAATAATGAATAGAAAAAAACGCTATAGTAGTTAATAACATATTTGAGAATACGGAGGATTGAGTAAATTATATTAAAATATTTTGAATATGTAAGTCAGCAAATAACGTGACAACCACAGCCGATATAAAGTTGCGGTGGAATGGAATGTATCAGAAATACATTTTGACATTAGCGTTTCGTATTTAGTGTTATACCACCGGAAATTGATCGCTTTTGGAAGAGTATGTAACAGCTATTTCTGACACAAAATATTCATACCCCCAGATCGTAAAGATGTGTTTAGATCAGGATTCATGACCTCCAAAATGAGAATATCCCTTGAACTTAATGTCATTCGAAAACAAAGAAATAAGGACGAACTTGGGGTACAAAGATCGATCGTCCAGAAAGATACCTGCAACAAGTCATACTCCAGCCGTGTTAAAAAAAGTGCAGCGTCATCCAATGGGCGAGAATCCACGAACGCAAAGATCAGTGGCGAAAGCCGCCCTTACCTTGGTTTTGTTCCTATACATACAGAAAGCTACTGTTTCAAGCCAGAAGATATATATTGGGAAAGTTATTGTTTGTAGCCAAAAGACATGTGTGGATATACATATATACTGATGTAGTGTTACATAAACCAGAGATCTAATGATTACGTATCTCCGACATAAGACCTTATATATCATAATAATTTATATATTATAAATGACTGATAAAAAAGAACGCTTCAACGAGTGTGTTGCATACCCAGCTGACCTGATGAGCTCTGGTAATGTGCGAAAGGCCTCGTCGGCTGAGGCATTCAGCACACGAGGTGTGTGGTCGAGTTATTAGGTTCTTCGTAGTGTAGATCTGTAATAAAGGACCAGTACAGCAAGGTTTATTAAAAGCTATGGTCAGATTTATTGTGATATAATGTTATATCAAACAAACCACCGATCTATAGCTCACGCTTCGTCTGCACGACAAAGAACTGTTGTCAGGTTTTGGGTCCGGCTAAGCAGACTTATTTTATGTGAAGATAAATTTCGTGAGGCTTGAAGATCACCACCGTTTTGTGACAAAATATTTCTTCTTCTTGTTGCCCTCTATGCCACAAACGATGACGATTAAACTTACTTTCTACAGACTTCAGCTGATGTCAACACATTGGTTTTATTAGGGCTTTCAAAGAAGAACCAATCTTTTTCTTGCTTGGAGAATAACTCCCCCCTCCGTCCAAGATATTAGGGTACATGTATGGTAAAAATAATACGAAAGTGCTTGACCAAAAGTATAGATTTAGGAAAATATTATTATTATATATTAGAAAAATTTCAGAAAAAGATTGAATATTACTTGTGCTGAAACTGTTATAATGATACAGATTGGTTAACACCTGAACAGAATCCGTTACCGCAGGGACGGGTTAACTTCTTATTTCTTCTATATAATATGTTAAAAGTTTATCTAATTCAGGAATTGAAATTGCTACTTTGGATAAAGGTGATCTATTTATTGAACTAAAACTGTTACTATAGAAACGTGTTAAGTTCTACCTGAAGTTAGAATAATTCTGGAGTGTAAATACGTATAAACATATTTATTTTTTCCGATCTTATTGATCAAAATATCACGAAACTTGATTACATAGTGCAAACACTCAAGTTAGGAGAAGAAATGAATTTGCAGCATCTCTTGTGCTTCTCTATGACTTCATATATTGTTAACAGGAGTTCGATATTGAAGGTTTTTCTAACTTTCGAGCTCAGATTTCTACTTATCACAAAGTTATATGATGACCTCATCACACAATATTGTAAGCGCACACTCAAGTCCAGAGATGTTCGACAGAGTAATCTCTTCTTGTTTTTAAATGCAGTTTTGCGCAATAAGCTATCTGACTATGTCAATCGTAGAGATAGAACTCCGGATTTTAGCCTTATAAGCCTCCGTGATTACTGCTGATCTAACGGGTTTTCCGTCAGAGTAATAAAGCTAATGAGGGTTGATATACGGACGAAGAAAACAACATTGAAATGCTGTTCACTCTTGAACCGTATAGAAAAATCTGATTTCTCAAAATATGTTGACTCTAAGTAATTTGAGGAGTAACTTTATAAACTCATATTCACTGGCTATTAAGAATTTCACGTCTGTTTTTCATGATATTTTTATTAGCTTGGAATACTTTGATGAATTATTTTTAAGGCTAATGTATACTCACTGACAGAGTAACTTAAGGTTTGATTTTCAGACGTTTGTTTACTGACTCTGGATCGTTTGAAGTCTGGTTTTCAGATTTCTGTTTACCAAACTTGAGTGATATGAAGTCTGCTTTTTGAGGATACTATTTACTGACATAAACGCGTACATATTTATGGATCTGCTTCGTGAATAAAGCCGGAGACATCAAAAATATAAACACTGTCCGTATATGTTTCCGCAAGGATATTTTCGTTAGTTTCAAAGACCCTCTCTATTAGATGCCAAAGCGTTTTAAGGATTGCTAATCTAGAATGACATAATCAACGTAATTTATTTTGATGAATGAAATCATGCCCATCTATAATCACACTAATGCTCTAAGAACAGGATAACTTACATGTAAAACTCAATATATTAATTCAAACCATCACAATAAATAGATAAGCAGTGCCAAACAACTAGTTTCACTTAGAAATAAAGATAAGAAATGATAACAACAGCGTATATTTGTGGTCTGATTCTACCGAAGTACCAGCCAAACTTTCTAAAACGCTTACGGGTATTCATGACGTGCTCGTAATTTGTCCCACATCAAACCACGCTTTACATTCTCGGCAGCATTTTCGATACAACTTTTCTTAAGAATCGCTATATTCTCATTACCAGTATGTTATGTATACATACGCCGTTAGAAGACAAAGCTGTCACGATAATTAGCTCTAGTACTGAGTGGTTAGATGTTTGGGACTACTTGGAAAATTAAATCGAATGAACCGTATTCTTGAATCTGTGAATGTTGCCCGCTTGTCTTTTTGGCGTTATCTGAATATCTCTTTGATGTTATCTGAATACAATGACTTCCAGCTAAAAAAAAAGCAAATAAAAGATCGTGGAATTTTGGCAAATCATTGTAATTATAGTGAAGAGCACGTGACTTTGCGAACCCGCAAATGGCAAAACCGTGTTTTTTGTTGGACACAGTTAGAAGTAAACTGTAGCAAAGAAGTAGAGTAAGACACGCAAACTACATGTTAGAAATAATGATAAAACAAACATTCGTGCGTGACGCGAAAAAAATCTGAGGTAATGTAATAAGTTTCTAAGGTTTCTTTTGTAGCCAAATCTGATTAAAGAATGAGTGAAGTTTCTGAATTCAAAAAAAAGAAATCCACTGTTTATAACTTGAGCATAAGCACGAACACCATTAACCTATTCAGTTTTCTTAAATGTCAGTTTCTAGAAGGACTATAAAGGGCCTAATCTATTGTTAGTGCCTTAGGTGTGTATGAGCGTCAGAAGTATTGAAACAGTCTAAGTATGATTATCTGCAGTGATAATCTGTTCGTACGTTTACAACTTTACACATCTGACTGATTTCAGTGAAATTTCAAAGATGTATGTATAACAAAACATGAAGCTTGAAACGGAACACATCTCCACTAGGAGTCACTCATTATTACGAAGAGAATCTTTTGTAGTTAATTCACTTTTGTCTTTGCACGTCACTACAGACGTTCAACAACGGGAAACTTAGCTGCTGCCGTATTATTCAAGTCCAAAACTCCGACAATTAATACATCGTGTAATATACTTACATGCACATTGAGGTCAATACCATTACTTACAAACGAGAACATAAGAAAAACACTTGAATTTCGATATAGAATATTTGTTCATGTAAACAGTAGAGGAGTCTATTCAACGCTGCAGTATGCATCAGTTATGACTACTGGTTAGACCTACAATGTACATTAGTTAAGACTACTAGTTTTAAAGCTATAACATACAACAGTTATAACTGCTGATTAGAGCTGCAACATACAACAGTCACGACTGCTGATTAGAGCTGAAATATACACCGGCTATGACTATTGGTCAAAAACTATACACAGTAACTTGTGTCAGAAATACAGTGTACCCTGACTAGGCTACAGTCAGCACTGCTACATGCGTCGGTTATGCTATTGGTTACAGATATTGCATGAAACCGGCAGTCTACTGATCAGATCTTTTTTCTTTTTTTTTGTACGTTTAATCCCAAAGCTACACAGTGGACTATCTGAACTGTCTCTACTGCTGGTTTCAAATCCTACAGTTTAGTGTTATAAGCCCTCAATCTTATCGCTGAGTCACATAACAGAGCTCAGTTTAACAAAGGGGTATAGTGAGATCTAAGGTTAGACTTGTTCAAAATACAACACTTAATAATAATTACTGAGAAGCAAATTTAATGTGTTAAGTAGAAACAATATTGTCTGCTCCTTCCCCCTCCACTGTAAAACACGAGTATATTTGCAGTTTCTTTAGCCCTTCAAGACATGAAAAATATTCCTTTTTTGGTATTGTTTGCGGGAATATTGCGTCACTAGAGGGCTTTATTAACTATGGTTAAGTGAGAGGTATAACAATTCTTTTATGTATTATCAACATTAAACTAACTTGGAAACTCATAAAGTAGTTTGTTTTATTGTTTTACAAAAACAACTTTTGATATCCGTAGCTTATTT